TAAAGGAATGTCTGTTGAGCATTTATTAGCTTCATTTGTGCTTTATAACTACCCTTTGAGTAGAACCTTTATTTAGAGAAATCCTTAAGGTTTAAGACAATCCCCAAAGATTCGAGAAGTAGATCTGTTTTGACCCTTTACTTAATGCACTTAGGCTATGACAGAAAGTATTCGAAGTGTCCCTCTAGACCTCTTCAAGGAGGACTCGTTGATCAGACTGAGGTGAAAAGGTTTTGCCTGGAATGTCACTCCCAAGTGACGACACTCACTGAAGTCAAGTGTTTTTTTATGCACTGTGGGGAAAATGGCCTAAAAGGGGGTTAAACTTTGATTAGAGATGTTGCAAGTAGGGAAAAATGCTTAGTTCAATTTAACTTCTGCTTTTCAGAAGACATGAGTACATAAATTATGTAGGAGAATGGTGATTACTAGACAGTCTAAAAGCTGGAGGCTCTAGGCCAATTTTCAACCAACTGTCACAGAACATAAGTTTCAAGATATGTTTAAACGAAACTGACAACTACAGAAAAAAATGTAAAATTCTTTGAAAGGCTGCGTTATGTGAACTGATGAGGATCTCAGAAACCACATGCGATTGAACACACAGCAATACTTGACTCCAACACTCCCACCCTCTTCTGGAGGAAATATTAAAAGAGGTAGAACAGATGCTTCCCCAAATTAAGCCGATCCAAGCAGTAGACAGATTCTTCCCAGCAGAGAGTGGCCCACAGAAATAGGGTGGGTCCAGAAAGTGAAAGGCCTGGGAGGGGGTCTTCTGGCCCAGAAGCTTTCAAGCTGGAAAGAAATTACCAAGGAAGGGTGCATGTGTGCATGGCTCTCCCACCTTTCTACACCAGAGAAGCTCTACTCTTAGCTGCTTAGACATCCAGGCTCCAAGGAGGATTTGAATCACTGCTGTATGCCAAGCTCTTCATTTTATAGGCCACAAAAACCCAAGCCAAAGAAATTCCATTAGGTATCCAAAGTGCCAGAGAGGTAAAAATTTGAACAAGTATTTCATGAATCCTCAGATAAAATACCACTTTGCAGGACAGTTCTTGATTTTAGCTGTGCCCATAAATCTCCACAAGTCTTAGAGCAAACTTTTCCCTCTCCTACCTGTCCAAGAGTTTTGTGGGGGGGTTCTGTGAAGCCCCTAAAAAGGTGCATTTAATTTTACCGATTTGTGTGTATGTTTTCTTTTTCCTGGGGGGGGGTGGCAGGGAGGGATGAGCCGCAGTTTTCATGCTCTTCAAAAGCATCTGATCCCACCAAGGATAAGAATTGGTGTACTTGCGCAGGGGAAAAGAAGGACCACAAGGAGATTATGTTTATAACCAGGAAAACTTATCAGAAACTCCTCTGACATTAGATGTGTTATTTCCTATGAAACTACTCAGGTGGTCCAGTAAATGGGCACAGAGGTAAAAAAACAAAAGCTGCACGGTATCTCTAAAAATAGAGTACTTGGGGCACCTGGGTGGCTTAGTGGTTAAAGCCTCTGCCTTCGGCTCGGGTCACGATCCCGGGGTCCTGGGATCAAGCCCCGCATTGGGCTCTCTGCTCCGCGGGGAGCCTGCGTCCTCCACACTCTCTCTGCCTGCCTCTCTGCTTACTTGTGATCTCTGTCTGTCAAGTAAATAAAAATAAATAAATAAATAAATAAAAATAAAAATAGAGTACTTGCTGGGCTGATAAAGACAGATTTCATTTTCCTTGTTGGGTTTTCCATCCTTAAAAATATTAGAAAAGTTACTTGAGGTATGACATGAAACCTTCCCTTTGTAAACCAAAACCAGGACTCCAAAGCACTGAATAATTTTGGAATGAGGGGATTATTTCTGTCTTTGAATAGTCCCTTCAGAAAGTGGTGGGAAGAGAGGTAATGACTATCGACTGAGAACAGCTGTTTCTTTCAAGTCAGCCCTAGGCTCTGGAGGGAAAACGTTCATCCCTATAACTATTAGGCAAACACCGAAAACTGCCTTCTGTCCTTTACGCCGATCATGTCAGGGAGGAAAGTGGCTGATGTCATCCTGAAGATGGAACTAATTTCGAGATCCTCATTATCCATTACAGGAAGCCTTTCCCCTCCACTCCCACTCTAGCTGTGGCAAAGAGAAGCCTGCAGCAGACAGCAGACTCGGAATTATCTTCACGTGAGGACTGACCAAAGATCGGAAAGTAGTTGGAAGGGAAAACCCAGAAAGTCAGGATGAACACGAAGTTGTGAGACATCACCATATTTTGAAATAATATTCATTATTTATCTGGAGTGTCTGTTCTACTGGAGGAAAATAGAGAATTTCCTGTGGCTGGGAAGTCTGTAATCCTCTGAGAAGCCTGGAGTGACACTTGCATTTAATGGTAAAGAAAGATATATGGAATTGCCCACCTATTCCTCACAAGCGACAGAAGCATTATCATGGAAATTGTACTTCAAGGTCAGTAGGGTTAAATGACAAGAAAATGGTCTGTGCCAGCAGTTTAAATGCCAAGAGGCACCAGGCCAAGAAGGCGCACAGACATAACTCCAGCACTGGCACTGATGTAATTACGGGCTTAGATGAATTCTCAACACCAGAGCGGAAGTTGAACCACAGTCCTTATGGGAAAAGAGAGAGGAGGAAGGTAATTAGAAGAAAAAAGCTGAGGAAAGGTATTTTCCTTAAAACAAAAAACAAAACAAAAAAACCAAACAACAACCAACCCTAAAAACTCTAAAGAAAATCCAGTGTCTACATAGGGAACTTCAGGTCTTCGAACATGCATAAAACAGGACGGAGGGAGGAAGGGGCCACACACATATTTATAGGGCTCAGTTTTCGAGCTGCTCTGCACGTGCATGGTAGAGTGTGACTCCCTCCCAGGGGCCTGGGCCTGGAGGAGCCCCGGGGTCCATGTGACTTGTGAGCATCCAGAACAAGGACCTCGGGAGGGAATTTCACAAGCGCGCAAACATATTTTTTCTCCCTTGACACTGCTTTCTACTTCTTCTCTCCCTCTGCTATTGTTTAATTTTGTGGTTCCACTTTTGAAGAATGGTGGGAGGTGCCGTGTTAAGCAATGCTCTAAGAATGAGACTCAGCTGCAGTGACTGTGTTAGGAAAATTGGCCTCCCACATCCTTCAAAGCAACTGTGATTCTACTTAAAACGGAAAAAAAAAAAAAAAGAAAAAAAAAGAAAAAAAGGAGACATGGAGGAGAGCAGGCAGGAAGCCTTGTGCAGCCTTGTATGTGCAGTGTCTCTGCCCAGCACGCAGTAGGTCCGGCTTGGGCGCTGACTCAGGGAATGGATCATTGTATCAAAAGAGCTTTGGATTACAGTTGGTTTACAAACAGGAGCCAGCTCTCATAGCACGACTGGGCTTTGGAGCAAGCTTTTGTTGATCTTCGTGATCCCATTAGTGAAAGTGATTAAACAACCAGATCTGGCACAGTTATCCTGATGGAAGTGTGTCAGAGTTGAACATTCCTAAAACTTGGTCAAGAGATTAGCAAGGAATCAAGAAAGGTCCCTGGAAAAGCAGATTTTAAAAAGCATGACAATATCAGAGTGCAAATGAGATCGTCAAGGTAATTTCCAATTCTTTCTTCACAATTAAGCAGACAGCCTGATTATTACTGATACTAAATATGTGTGTACGGGGGCCCCTGGGTGGCTTCGTAGGTTAAGGGTCTGCCTTCTGCTCAGGTCATGATCCCAGGCTCCCTGCTCAGTGGGGGAGTCTGCTTCCGCTCTGCCCCTCCCCCAACTCATGCTCCCTCCTCCCCGCCCCCTGTCAAATAAAGTCTTTAAAAAAAAATGTGTACAACAGGCTCTCCAAGAGCTCTATGGTAACATTTATTAACACATGCTACAGTGAAGAAAAATAAATGACTGAAATAATATGGGTTCCTACAATAAATAGATTTTAACTCTCTATGATATAATTTTATAGGTTGAAATGATGCTTTATAAAAGGTACTTATTAAGTTTGGTTGAAATTATGTTTCACAAAGTATGTTCCAATGGAAATTCAGAAAATATCTACAAGGCATGGCTTATAAATGTGGAGATAAATCATATACAGGATATTTCAGTGAATAAGCCCAGACAAAGAGGGTTTAAAAAGCATAACATTCTTTCATCAGTAAATGTATTTTTTAAGATAATAATAAAAGCAAATAGAAAAGTTTTAACAATAATATTAAAAGAATAAATTCTGGGAAATTCTTCAGAAGCCCTGCTAAGGTTTCGTCTCCTGGGCCGGGAGTGGGGGGGTGGGGGGGGGACGGTGGAAGCAGCTGGAGACACTGCCACCCCAGACCTGGTGGGACCAGCTGGTAAGGCTCTCCGTAAGTGGATGGCAAAGAGGAAAAGCCTTAGGTTTCACTGTCAAGCATAGTCATGAACACACTTTAAATTTTAGGAAGACAAAGTATGAACAATTTTGACAAAGATATGGGGAAGATTCTTTGATGAGAAGTTCAGGAAGGACTAGAGCTAAATGGGTTATGAAAATGTAGTTCTATGGATTAAGCCTTGATAACTCAAAACAGATTCAAATTAGGAAATAGGCAGTATTATCAATTAGAGGAAAGAGGAATGCACGGTCAAGAAATAGTCTTCAGGAAAATGACTCAGCACCCCCTGCCATGCCATTGGCTCAAGTTAAGTTCTCCAAGCAGGCTCCTAGACTGATGTGTAGAAAACAGAACTCTTATAGAAGTAACCTTAGATGGAAATGAGGGAAATAATGCAATTGGAACATGGGCTGGCAAGAAATCTATTGATTCAAATTATGAACAGTAATTCCCAACCATCAGTAGGACTCTTCTAAAAAAACCTGCTACTAAATTCTATTTGAGGTTGTGAACCTTGAGTCTTGAGTGAGTGAAATAATAACCTGACAGTGACGAATTCTGGATAGAAAAACTTTGAGGAAGTTCACAAATCAAGAACTTAGGATCGAGGTGCTGTTTACTGAAATCTCATAATATTCAGGGGAACTTACCTGCAGCAAATAACAGCTTTGCACGACAAAGCCAAGTCCAGGAAATACTGTCTTACTCCGAAAGTCAAGGCGTATTTGAGGGTTTTCCCATCAATAATAAGAGCAAAGTCATTCTCTTTTCGAAGAGCATCACCAAGGGTAGTGCAGTGGCGACTGAGCGTTTCCCTCGTTGCCTGCAAAATCAAATAAAAACACCCACAACGTTTACTTCTGTTTGTTCTACTGAGATGCCCTGAGTATGTTCAGCAACTACACTTAGGTATTCTTAGTGCTTTTATGTTGTAAACTGCTTTCACATAACTCCACTCATTTCATTCTCCCAAAAGCCCCTGAAAGGAGATTGGACAAATGTTATCGGTGAAAGTAAATTACTCTGTTAAAGTCACACATCTGTGTCTACCAGGGTTGGGATTACAAATCACTGATTCCTCTGCGAGCTTTGCCCATCATTCTAACCACACAATCACAATCGTGCAAAATTGTTTTCAGTAAATTATCTTATTACAAAACAATAACATTGTCCTAATTTATGAACTAGTCAAAATTGCTTAGCCATGAATCCAGGGGAAACGTTGAAGAATATCATTTAAATAACTTATGGGTGTTTCTTTCTAGAATTCCTCAATGCTATTGAAACTTAATTTCCAGTCACCAAGAGGGGGGAAACGCAGTGTCTGTAATCTCTCGCCACTTCATTGAATTGGTTTCTATAAACTTTAATCATAATTTCGTGATCCAATTTTATTTGGGGGGGGATGTCTGGCTTGGTAATCTTGATGGATCAAATAGAAGAACCCCTTCCATCAATGCAGAGTTCACTTTCAGGCACAATAAAAACATTCAGTATCAAGGTCAGCTTTGTTCACCTCAACCATATAGAGGGTTTATACTTATCTTTATCTAGAACTGCTTTCCCAGCTCTTCAGAGGCAAAAAGTTGCAAGACATTTAGTTTTTCTCCCCAAATCCTGTAGACCCTTCCTATAACCTAATGGGGCCAGCTTTCTGTAAGAACCCAAGCACTGTGGAGAAACAGAACACTGGCTCTGCACAAGGAGACATAAGGAATGATTCCTCTCTTACTAGAGTTTTGTTCTCAATGCTAATATCTGAGTCTGTAGTTATTTATGTAATAAATACATATATATATCATATATAATAAAATGTACCTATAATAAAAATACTTATGTAATATTTTTATTATATTCACGGGAGATATAATTATTGTTTCAACTTAAGAGTGTTACTTCAGTTGCATTCACAAAGAGGGAAGCAAAGGCAGAGGTAATTAAAATTTTTATTGGAGATTTTTGAAGGTGTTTCTGCATTCGTATTCAAATGTGGTTCACACTGGGTTTCTGGAATTTCAGGATCTGTTTATCAGAATAATAGAACCATGTTGTACCATAAAGTAAGTCTGCCTAAATTTCCTAATACTGGAACTTCACTTAATGCCTCCCCAGGCCCCCGTTACCCACAGTGACACTAAGGACCACCATATAGCAGCTTTCTTTGCAAAATTTTCTGTTTATACTTTACACGGGGCGGGGAGGAGGAGTGTAGCTGTTTGGGAATTTATCGGCCTCACCCTCCTATTCCTGCTAAAAATTTTTGGCCCAAGAGCACTTAAGTAAAGGAGGTGAAAATGTCAGAAAAATTTTGCACATGAAATCTACTAGTGACAATTTACAGTAGGTTACTCTAGATTGTCTTAAAAACATATTTGCAAAGGCCAAATGAACAAACAAGTAAATGAATGAACTGGTAAAAAAATAAACATAAAATACTTAGCACGTACCACGTCCCGGGCACGGCTCTAAGGGCTACGCATACACTGAATTTCAGTTAACACTTGCTCGAACCCCACACGGGAGGCGTCACTGTGAGCCCCATTCTGCAGATGAGAAACAGGAGACACGACGGGAGTTCCTTGTCCACGAACACTTGGCCACTAAGTGGCGAAATGAAACTCAGAATTAAATTTCTGTGCTCAGTTGTCTTTCTCCACGTAATCCAGGGAAAGCAAACCCCACTGGAGACAGTACCGGGCATAGCAAATTATAAATGGAATGCCCACACCAGTCTCTCTGCTGTTTCCCTAGAGCCCTCATCATCATCATCGGTCTCTGATTTCGTCTTTGCCGCCAACAGAGATTTCTTTTTATAAAACAAATCTAAAACACAAACCACGGCTCTTCTTGTTCTAAAATTTGCCTATGGCTAATCACACAAGAAAGCCCCAGCTCTTTAAAATGCCAGTTAGAGCTCTCCACAGTCGAGGCCCAACTGATCTTCATTCATACTTCCCTTCACAATCTTGACCCCTTTTGGCTCTCTCTGGAATCCTCTTCCCTGCAGGGTTAGTCTACCACCTTCTAAACCCAGCTTACCCGCCAAGCCCTCCCAGACACACTCCATGGGCCAAGCGTAACTTACTCCAGGCCAGCAAGGCCCTCAGCTCCTCCAAGGGAGAGACCCCGTTTCCCCCATTCCTCAGCAACAAACACAGTGCCGGAGATGACAAACGCCTGGGAATTACCAATGTATCCAATGAGAGCACTGATCAATTCTGAGTTCATCCTACTGCTGGCTCTCCAATTCCCTGTCTGTTCTCACTTCTCATTTGAGAGTGAGAGAATGACTCTGTGTGCATGTGTGTGTGTGTGTGTGTGTGTGTGTGTGTGTGTAAGAAACAGACAGAGAGGGAAAGAGAAGGAGGGAAGGAGGGAGAGCTTTCTCTTGCTTACTCCTTAATTTTTTCAAAGAATAATCCGTCACTCAACAGTCTTTCAAACCAAGGCACTACTCACTGAATTGTCCCTGTGTTGTGTATGCTTTTGTGCTGAAAACCCGAAGGAAAACTGAGATGAAATTCAGGAGAACTTCACTGCTCTTTTAAGATCAGCGGCAGAACAAGACTGAAAGTCAAAGGACCCCTGAACTGGCAAGCTCCAGCATTAAGCTCACCCATGGGATGCGGTCCTGTGAACCCCACTCTCTCTCCTTTTGAAGGTGTTCTCTGACACCTTGAAATCGGTTGAGAACTCTCTTATTTGTGGCATCAGTACCCCTAGGTTTCCTTGGTGATTATCACAGGTCTTCAGCAAATCAGAAGGTGTCAGGAAATGTAACAGAGGTAACATTTCAGAAGGGGAGTCAAAAACACTCCCCCGAGAATTCTCCAGCCCGCCCACCCAGAGGGCAAGGTAACAACAAAGCTGCAAACGTTTTCTTATTTTAGTTTATAGCTTTCTTTTGTAAGCAGCTCTGTTGTTGGCTGTGTGTTGCCAGTTACAAGTTACATTTTACTCTTATTCATACCGCCAGGAGTATTTTAAAATTATTTTATTTATGAAGGTTTATTGCTTCTCCCCTAAGCCTAGGGGTCATACTTTATGGCCATATTGCATTGAGGCTTATCTCCTGTAGTTAGAAATAAATTTATTACTATATTAGCTGTTACTGTGTTTTCTTTTTGGCTACTGAAGGGGGAAATGTTTAAACATTTAAACTTAGTGACATGTGAAAGTGAAAATATATAAAGGAGAAGCTAAATCAGAAAAAGGATAAAAGACCATAGAGTAGAACAAAATAAAAGCTCTGTATCTCCTTATTCTATAGTCTTATTTGTGGGCTGAAAGAAGGTATGTGTGTGGCTCTAATCAGAGATGGTCTGAAGTAAAGGCAATTTGGGGACCCACACAGGCAAGGGGCAAGGCTGGGGTCCAGGTAACTTACCAGGCAGCCATCCAGGTAAGGGAGGGCAAGTGGGGTTTGTTTGTGCCTTCCCTAACCTGCATCCCATGTGGACATTCCAGTCAATCATTCAACTCAACTCACCCTACCCACAGCCCTGCACATAGCAAAATGCTCATCAGAAGCTCTCAGCCCCTGGACACCCTGCCGTGCCTCCCACCTTGCCAATTCACAACCATGACCAACATTTTCCTCTGTTCTTAAGTCTCCACAACATAGAAGGGAAAAAACACCCCACCCTGAGGACAGGTTCTGCTCCAGCTCTCTCCTCTTGTGTGGGTGCCCATGACATTCATACTCTCAGCCATGCCCAGTGGATCCCATTTTCCTACAAGCTACTCCAGACCTTTTCTTCTCTCCCAGATCCCAAATTCTGCCCTTGTCACTTCAGCAAACATGTACCTACTTTACTGAGAAAGTTTCTACAGGAAGAATTCCCTCAACTTTCCTCCCTCAATCTCAAAACTTCCCTTTACTTCTTTTTCCCTAACCCTTAAGGCAGGGGAGGAATGGGTTTTTTTTTTGCCTCGGTCTCCCCCACTTTTCTCTTGCATCTTCATTGTCCCCATGTCATGCTTTGTTTTTCCCTTTTAAGACTACACACTGACAATGGTGAACAAATACACAAACATGGCTCTTTTTCTCCTGAGTCTTCCAGGTCCAGGGGTCCTACTAGCTTTTGGATTCTCCATATGCTTGTTTATCCTTCTGCAGTGGCATATGATGTATAGTTGTTTATCTGTTTTTATTTCTTTTTCCCTTTGGGACTGAGGCCTCTGATGAAGGGATGAAATAAAAGCTTTGTACTGAAACAGCAAGCAAATTATTAATGATCGCAGAATACCTGTTGGGAAGTTACAGTGGTTCTTGTGTGACTATTTGAGGACTGTTTTTGCTGACGATAAAACTGTTGCATATCTTAGATGTATTTTCTAAGTGTCTTTTTTTTTTTTCTTTAAGATTTTATTTTTAAGTAATCTCTACACCCAATGTAGGGCTCGAGTTTATAACCTCAAGATCAAGAGTTACATGCTTTGGGGCACCTGGGTGGCTCAGTCAGTTAAGCCTCTGCCTTTGGCTCAGGTCATGGTCTCAGGGTCTTGGGATCAAGCCCCTCATTGGGCTTCCTGGTTGGTGGGAAGTCTGCTTCTCCCCGACCCCGACCAAAATAAATAAATAAAATCTTTAAAAAAAAAAAAAAAGAGTTGCATGCTCTGCTGACTGTGCCAACCAGATACCCCTTGGATGTTCTTAATTAGAACAAAAAACAAAATGTTAATGTGCTTATCTTCATTTTCTTTTTAAAAGATTTATTTACTTGAAAGAGAGAGCTCCAACAGGGGGAGGGGCAGACGGAGAGAATTTCAAGCAGACTCCCTGCTGAGCATGGAGCCTGACATGGAGCTCGACCCCATGAC